TTTTAGTTCACTAACTGCACATTTTCTGTTTTCATTTTTTTTTTTTAATTTTTAACAGTCAAATAACAAAACAAAACATTGCAAAGTGCAAACGTGTAAAAGCTAACAAAAAAGGGGGAGGGGGCGGCCAAACATTTTTTTGCTTGGGGCAGCAAAAAATCTAGAGCCAGCCCTGGCAGAGAGGTCAAGGATCTTTAAAAAAAAAACTCCATGTTTTTTGCCGCATCTGGAAAATGGTGTTGCATAGCAACTCCAGACATTTTGTTCTGCTCTCCTCAGTGAGAAGTGGACTGGCTGTTTTCCTAATCCTTTGTGGTTTAAGTTTGAAGTTAATCTGTATGGGTATGTCTACACTACCCCGCTAGTTCGAACTAGCGGGGTAGTGTAGACATACCCATATTGACAAGGGGGCTCAGCTCCCCTCTGGGGCAGCAATGACTTCCCCATGCTATGGGAACCATCCCCAAAGCCGAACAACTTCCAGCTCAACAGCCTGTGCGGGGCTACGGATCTGTCACCTGTGCCGGATGCTCTCCCAAGAAATTGACCTGGTGCAGAACGCTCCTGCATCACACAGGCCTTGTGGACTGCCTGGGGAAAAGCCAAACTCGGGGCTTTCAAGAAAAAGCCCCCAAAATAACAGAACCCTGGAGTCTGACTCCCAGTCGCCTGCTCTAACCACTAGACCCTGCTCCAATCCCAGAGCTGACATACCCCAGGAGTCTTGACTCCATTGCTTGCTCTAACCACTAGACGCCGCTCCAATCCCAAAGCTGACATACCCCAGGAGTCTTGACTCCATTGCTTGCTCTAACCACTAGACGCCGCTCCAATCCCAAAGCTGACATACCCCAGGAGTCTTGACTCCATTGCTTGCTCTAACCACTAGACGCCGCTCCAATCCCAAAGCTGACATACCCCAGGAGTCTTGACTCCATTGCTTGCTCTAACCACTAGACGCCGCTCCAATCCCAAAGCTGACATACCCCAGGAGTCTTGACTCCGTTGCCTGCTCTAACCATTGGACCCTGCTCCAATCCCAGAGCCTGCATGTACCCTGGAGACCAGGTGCATTGCTCTAATTCCCTGCCTCCCCTCCTCGTCCACCTGTGCGTGCTGCAATGAATGGCAAGAAGAGGAGCAAGGGTGAGGGACAAAGGCAGGAAGAGAGGAAGGAAACGAGCAAGGGAGCGTGCTTGGTTTGTTTCCACTGGTTACCAACCAGCTTCCTGCAGCACCATTCCTGTGCTACATCCTGTCAGAGCGACAGGCCCCACCCCAGCCGCCATCTCGCCCCTGTCCCCGCCACCCCCGTACTAAGGGCAGCACCAGCGTTCAGGAGAGCCGCACGCCAGGAGATTATTTCTGCCCAAACGGGGTCAGCTGCTTGCAGAGCCATTCCCATCACGGCAGGTCGGGGCCGCCTGAGCCACGCTAAGCAGATTGTCCAGGGGAGATAAAGAGGGGTGGGGGATAGGAATGATACTGGGATTGCCACTGTCTCCAAAGATGAAGAGCCTGGCCAGGGAGGGAGGGGATGCTGGTGTCCCCCTCCATCCCTGCGGGGTTCTTCCAGTTCAGGGTGGGCCAAGATAAACACGAGGGCTGGAGTATCCTGCTCCCAGAGAAGCTGGTAGAGATGAGAGCCTGAAACGTCCACCCCGCGTCTGACTTGGCACAGTTTGACATTTTGATTAAAAAAAAAAAAATCCAACCGAGAAAGGGATATGAAATGAACATGGC